GAAGAGTCGTACCCCGAGAGCGGCATAGGCCAGTAGATTTTTCAGTCCTGCGCTTCCGTTCACCTTTCCTACTATTTGCTTAAGAACCCCCAAAAAATAAAAATATATATTCCTTATGGGGTAATATAGGGATTTTTAGTTTTATTTTTTGGTGGTTTCTTAAGCAAATAGTAGTTTCGGGTTTTCCGGCTCTCGTGTCTTTCTTTCTTGCTTGCTGGGGGCTTCAGCTCAGCTCACAGGGCTTTGGGTCGGGCTTAGGGCCTTGGCTCAACCTTAAACCCTAAACCCTGAACCCTAAACCCTGAACCCCTTAAAAAAAAAGAACCCGAAACCCTACTAAACCCTGAACCCTAAACCCTGAACCCGAAACCCTAACCCTGAACCCTGAACCGTTCCGAGGCAGTGCCGACACCAAGCCGGCGAGGCAGGCCGTGCGGCTCTTCCCATGCCTTTCACCGTCGCAGAAGCAGAGCTGCGGTGAAGAGTGCGGTAATCGCTTGCATGAGAGCTGCGAAAGATTCCGCAGCAAGTGCCAAGTACCGGCCCGTGTTCCATCACATGCTCCAGCACTCGTGTGGGAGTCTGGCACCGTGGCAGTTCACCTGCCGCGCGAACCCTACGACAGCAGCCCCAGAACAGACGCACTTCCCACGGTGCAGTGAGTGAAGAGAGAGAGAGAGAGAGCGTAGGAGAGGCCAACACTTGATTAGGAAGCTGCTGGGTGCAGACAGGACGTGCCATAGCGAAGGATCCACAGCTTTGTCAGCCCTAGAAATCGCAGAATTATGGAGCTATGGTAGCTCTGCACTGTAGAGCAGCCAAAATTCGGTGCATGTAATTCGGTGGCTGAGGCACATGAACTGGTGGCTGAAGTGGTGATGTACTTGCAAGTTTGGAATGAGAAAGGAAGAGCCAGAGTTCATGCGGTTCTATGAACCGTCGCTGCAGGTGCCTGCAGGGTGATCGAGCCCTGCAGAAGGTACCCATAGACTATGAATTCCTGTTAAATGGGAGTCTACTTTGTCCTCCGGGGTCCGCAACGAACCCAGAGGACAGCTGTCGGTAGTGAACCCAGATGGAGGCACGCAGACGCCAAGTGGCCGCAGGAAATAGGGCGAAGGACCATGTACTTGAAAAACAAGCACACTAAAAGCGCCTAAAAAAAATCAAAAATATTTTGGTGGTTCGTTATAGCATACACAGTATTACAGTATAATTAATGGGCCCCAAAACCCTATTGGAATTAATTAAGGCCCCTATATTGTAATTTCTGAAGCCCCCAGGCGCATAGCAGCTGGTAGGGTGCACTTGAAGCAAGGCTTTCTCATCGGACCTCTGGCGCAGGCGCTTGTGTGCGTCTGAATTCATCGCAGTGGGTCTGCCCATCAAAAGTTAGATGACAGATCTGTTCCAATTAGCACACTCCCTACCGGGATGAGCATGTCGGACAGAACCGGAAGCATGTATTGCTTCTGGGAGGAGCATGGCAGCAGACCTGGCAGATGTTCCTTCGCAGTATCGGTTAGAGATTCCCAGCTGAAGCCCTTCTTGGAGATATTATGCTCTGAACCCTTTAACCTTGGGACCCTACAACTCCAAAACCCTAAACCCCTAAACCCTAAACCCTAAACCCTTTACCCTGATGAAAAAGGCAATCGCTGGGTCCTGGAGTGATATTCGGCACTGCAGTGCTGCAGCCCCAGCCAAGTCCCAGAGCACTTCAGGTGATTACTACTGCCAGTCTTGTTGTTATTATCGTTGTTATTCGTGCTACTATTATGATGGTTTTGATTATGATGACGATTACTGTCATGGTTATAAGTTATTATTAGTAGCATTTGTTTTATGGTTGCGCCCAAATCAACCCGACTGGTCATAGTTGGGCAACACTTTAGATTGCCATCCCAGAGGGTCCATATACACTACTACCATGGAATTAGGTTCCCAAAGCCATAACGGGGATGGTCTTTTGGGACCTAATTCCATCATGGTACTTGGAGGGTGGGGGACTTAGTAAGTAGGTGGTAAGTAGACTTATAAGCACCCTAAAAGGGACCCTAATTGGGGTTATGGTACTTATAAGTCCCTAAAATAACCAGTTACTAAGTCCCCCGACCCTCCAAGTAGTATAAATGGACCCTCTGGCTATGGATACATAGACATGTAAAGTTTCAATACGATCCCAACCATGGACTAGTTCTTCCTGGTCACATGCCTTCTCCGTTTGCGGTGGAGCAACGGGAAATCCCGTTGGAACGCACGTTCTGGCGATCTGGCAGAGGGACAATCGGCTCGGCTTTTTCAGCAAGAAGCCCAAGGATCCTCCAACATGATCTGCTTCTAGGTAGGGCTTTGGGGCATTTTATATTTGCCCTTATTGGGCTTAAGAGGATCTTACCTACTGATATTTCTCAAAGGCTTTAAAAGCACCTCCTAGGATTGTACAAATACCGACTTGACCTGCTTGTGTCTCTTTCAGATGCCGAACGGAAGCTGCAAGATCATGCGTAGGACAAAACGAGCGCCAGTCATTGTCCGTTCACATCAAGGAACCTTGCTGCTTGTCGACAGTGGCTACTGGTAGTGTGTCGCACGTGTACATTCGGTGGCTCGTTGGAGACTTTGCCTATATAGATGGGCAAGCCGTCAGCGATAGTTACCTGTACCATTTCGGGGCTGCTTATTATATTTCTAGTATAATATACCCCCAAGAAGCCATTCTAAGAATTGTTAAGAACCCATATTATTCGAACGAAAAAGCTGTCCCTGCTGCCTTCAAACACCCGCAAACCATCTCAAACGCGCGCTTGGAGATCTGAAAATCCCCGGTACCCGCAGGCTCTGGTCGCACCACATCCGTGAAGCGGAGAAGACGTCGGTCCGGACATCTACATGGGAGTTTCGGAATTAAGGGGTACCTTATTTGGGGGTCCTTATAGTAAGGATTTGAATAACTCCTGGTATGCTTAAAACAAGTTTTGGGGATCCGGGGCCAAACCCGCAAATACATGGTGCACGGACTGGGGCGCGGCCTGATCCACATGTTTTGATTCTGATGCATGTTGAGGGTAATCTGGCGCACGGCCTGGGTTTTGGTGCTCTGCTTGCCCCGGCCCCACCCCCTGCCCCACCCACGGCCCACACCGCCACCCAGTCGGAACGCGTCGGAACCTGTCGGAACCCCGTCGGAACCCGTCGGAACCTGTCGGAGACACCTGTCCGGCCCGCCCGCAGCCCTTATTAAGCATACTGAGACGCACGTTTATTGGGTTGTGCAGTGAGGGGTTCCGACAGGTTCCGACGGGTTCCGAAACGGGCGGGGTGGGGGGGTGGGGGGCGGGGTGCAGGGGCGGGGCGGGGGGAGCCCAATGTCAACGAAGGGAGCGGCAGGACAACACACCCGCACCAGCTCCCGCACCAGAGGCCTGGTATGCTTGCAAGTAAGGATCCTACTATTTAGGTTTTTTGCTGTGTCCTCCCGGACAGGAGTCACAATGCTGGTTCTTTGCCTGGGCGTGTTTCTCTCACTTCACTTCAGTGTGTCACAGTCTGTAGCAAGGCCATATACTAGTACATCTCCAGTGTGCGCGAGCTCTGCAAGCCGAAAAGATACGGCCCACGCTGCAATCCCAAGAGGACACAGAGATACCACAGGATCACTCTTGCAGGTCGAATGACACTTCTAGCTTGTCTTTGCAAGGGATGGCGAATCCCTGAGGGCGTGATTGTCCAAGAAGCCGTCCATTTCACTCCAGACCTAAACCTAAACCCTACCTGGCTTAAAAGTACTGAGTAGAGTAATGGCCTTCAATAGGTGTTGGTTCATTGCTTCACCTATTTTGGCGGGGGTTTAGATACGCCCTTTAGCCTTGAAAGCCCCCAAACCCTAAGCCCCTAAACCCCTCAGCCCTTAGCCCTAAAGCCCCAACCCTACACCCCTAAACCACAAAACCCTAAACCCTAAACCCCTAAACCACAAAACCCGAAACCAAAAAACAACTCCTCCGCAACTTTCGGCTCACAGATGCCCTGAGATCTTTCCGACGTTGTGCCGGCAAGGCGCGCTTTTGAAGACACCTTTGGCAGGGAAGCTCGGCTCCACGGTTTAGGGTTTAGGGTTCAGGGTTTAGGGTTTAGGGTTTAGGTGGCTCAACCGTCCGGAGGCTGGCTCCTAGATTTAGAATACTTAGGGTTCCTTGCAGGGTTCCTTAAGGGACTCCTTCAAGGGTTCTATAAGGTGTCTATAGGGGTTTAGGGTTTAGGGTCTACTTGGAGGATCATGGGACTTAGTAAGTAAGGTTATAAGTAACCTAATTGGGGTTATAAGTATAGTTGCCTTATTGATAACCCTAACCCTAAACCCTAAACCCTAAACCCTAAACCCTAAACCCTACCCTAGTTACGAAGTACCATGGTCCTCCAAGTGAAGACGAGATGAGCACTAAAAGGGTTTACGGCTCACAGTAGACCATCGTATGCCACATAGGGATTCATAGCTTAGGAGAATTGAGCCCCTGCTTGTAAGAACAAGTAATGGTATTCTTTGGTAGGGATTCTGGGTTCGAAGTTGGTCATCACGGTTTAGGGGTTTAGGGTTTAAGGCTGGTCAAAGCATAAGAACATACTCTAAGTTGTTCAGTCCACGTGCCTTAAGGACACGGCTTTCCCACCCTATGTACCGTACACATGAGCCTACTATAGTACAGTTACTATGACATACTTTACTACAGTATACTATACTAGACTAGAATATACGATAATGTAACGTACCATGGTTATTGAGGAGTATTTATTTCATAGACCCTAGGCCCTTTCCCCTAGGCATCTAAGGACTCATATATGAAGGCCCAAAGACCATACTACATAAGGCTTTTGGGCAGTCTTGATGCCCAGGGTATATAATAGACTATATAACATACGATAATGTAACATACAATTTTGTTGAACCCTAAGCCCTGAATACGCTGGAAGTGTGTCCAGAAGTAGCCGCCAAGGAAGTGATGGACAGGGCTGGATATGGAGCAGTCATGGTCCGGGCCCCAGCGCGGGGCGAGAAGACAGACTTTAGAAGCTGCCTCCACCCCGTAATAGTGACGATAAGGAATATATTAGGGCCCTATTATATTCCTATCATACCACTGTTAGGGCCCTATTATATTCCTATCATACCACTGTTAGGGCCCTATTATATTCCTATCATACCACTGTTAGGGCCCTATTATATTCCTATCATACCACTGTTAGGGCCCTATTATATTCCAATCATACCACTGTTAGGGTCCTATTATATTCCTATCATACCACTGTTACAGGGTGGGGCCCCCTTCTAAGACAGACTGTTCTTGGGTAAATTGCAGCCCTGACGATCCGAAGTCGAGTAGGTAACCTTTAACCTTTTTTGGGTCTAGGACCCAGAGTAGGCCCTTATGTCCTCTTTTAGGGTTTAGGTTCCCTTATACCCCCCTTTTAACCAAAAAGGGCACCCTTTTTATTCCCGGGCTACCCTTAGGTCTAGTAGTAGAGTAGAGTAGGTAACCTTTAACCTTTTTTGGGTAGTATAGTCCCTATATAATCCCTATATAGCCAAAACGGTTAACCTTGAGTTCCCCATGATATCCGACAAGTAGGCCCAATAACTAGGTGTTTGGGCTTATACAGTATCGTGGATGTGTAATATAGGTCAATATTTGGGAGAGCTTATGATGATTAGGTACTCGGACCCTTAGCCGCAGGTTAGAGGTTATAGCTATCATTTGCTACAACATATGTTGGAGTACTATACAAGCCAACGCTATACGAATTGTAAACCATCGTATACTAGATCATACCGTGAGCTACGATAATTACCGACGGATGGATGCAAAAAAAGTGGTGATTTTCATGATAGTATGGTTCAGGGCTTGCTCATATGTAAAAAAGAGGGGCCTGAGAGTCCGAGGCATGCGACATGCCGGCTGAGCCCATGCCAGTTGCACCAGGCTGGAGGAATCAACAATTCGGTATCTTCTCAGCTTGGTGCCGACTGTATTGATCTTTTGTTATCGCCAAGTCTGCACACCACGCGCACGAAGGACACTGAAGCAACCACCGCCTACACCCAATGACCTCAAAGCCCCGAAGCCCCAAACCCATCGAAGCGCCTTATTCTGCATGGTCAGGCTCAAGCCATTCGCCAGAGCTGCGGCCAGTGAAGATGCCCAGCCTACTTCAGCACATTTACATGGGAAGAATCAGGGGATGTTATTGTGTTTCGTGGTTGCTTCAGGATCAATATCAATAGCCCAATAACCATCTACTATTGCAGCACCTGGACAGGAGCCGGGAATCCGCAAAGCTTAGGCCTACCCTTTCACATCGTTTCGTCGAATCTTGAATGAGATACTGAGACCTGATTGACTAGTTGACGATCTTTGCCGCCGTATGCCTGCGGTTCGTAAACACAATCTGCAATCTTGTTTGAACTTGTTTAGACGAGTGCGCCCACTCCCCCATGAACGTCTTGCGCCCATATCTACAGGACATGCGCGGCTTTTGGTATTCTGCCTGAACAACCTGCCAGATTTTGCAGCGTGTGTAGAGTCACTTGTGGCAAGAGAGTTCCTGTGGAGCCCGGCACCCCTTGGTTTAAGCACCACCTGAAATCTTAACGTCTAGCTGAAGGGATGATGTTCCATATCGCAGGGGCATGGGCTCTCTAAGTTATCGCTTGCATGCAGCCAGTGCTTTTCAACGCTCTACTCCAAACGCACTGATCGAGGCACGTACGCGAATGTCTTCCTTCGGGGACGACCAGGCCGTCGCGAGTCACAAAAACTAACCCTGGACATCCTCATAAGAAAGAGCCCGAGGCTAGCAGCCTTCATAGTAAGCCAAGGAAAAAGGTCAAAGATGAAGGAAGACTAGGATGCCCAGTAGTACCCTTATTCCCTTTTTGTAGTCCTAGGTTCCTTATAGAGTTACCCAATAGCAAAAAGAGAGGCCTTTTTATTCTTAGGTTACTGGGTATCCTAGAGGAAGAGACATCTTTGGGCGGCCTGTCTCTCCTGGTGCCTTTGGGGTCCATGTACCACTGTGTATGTACTCAAAGAGCCGTTGAGTACCTACAAAAGTCCTATAAAAGGAACTCTTAAAGGGGCCCTTAAAGGGACCCTTAAATGAACCCTTACAGGAACACTTAAAGGAACCCTTAAAGGAACCCTCAAAGGAACCCTCAGAGGGACTCTTCAAGGAATCCTGGAAGGAACCCTTAAAGGGACCCTTCAAGGAACCCTTAAAGGGACTACCTTGGGTGCCCCTCTGTTTTTCCTAGCACCAGGACTTGGCAAACCCAAGACTAGATCATGCTCTAGTGTCTCTGTTGTAGTAACCCGATTACAGCAGTAACCCTGTATTGACCCTAAACCCTAAATCCGAAAATTCTAAAACCCTAAATCCTAGAACCCGAACTCCTAAAGTTCGAAAACCTTAAAACCCTATATCCTAAAACCCTAAATCCTAAAACCCTACACCCTAACTCTCCTGGGAGCGCCACTTGGAGGGTCGGGGGACTTAGTAACTGGCTATTTTAGGGACTTATAAGTACCATAACCCCAATTAGGGTCCCTTTTTGGGTGCTCATAAGTCTACTTACTACCTACTTACTAAGTACCTACTACCTACTTACTAAGTCCCCCGACCCTCCAAGCAGGACTTGGCAAACGAGCTTCCTCCGAACTGGGATCTCAGGAGGCTCGGCTCGCTGGTCAACTGTACTTGGAGGATCTTTAGGGTTCCTTAACTAGGATGCCCAGTAGTACCCTTATTCCCTTTTTGTAGTCCTAGGTTCCTTATAAAGTTACCCAATAGCAAAAAGAGAGGCCTTTTTATTCTTAGGTTACTGGGTATCCTAGTTAAAGGGTTCCTTAAGGGGCTCCTTATAGGGTTCTATAAGGTGTCTATAGGGGTGTAGGGTTTAGGTTTAGGGTCTACTTGGAGGATCATGGGACTGAGGAAGTAAGGTATATAAGTACCCTAATTGGGTTACAATTAAGTATAGTTAGCTTATCTATAACCCTAGTTACTAAGTCCCATGATCCTCCAAGTAGTGCTCTGAGGACTTCCTGTCCGTTCATGCGTAACAAAATGCCCAGAGGTCTTACTCAAGCAATATGTTTAGTATAAGTATGATGAAAACTCCAAGGGATCATTAAAGTAGTATGCTTAGTGTAAGTATGGAAGAAAAACTCCAAGGACTTATATAAAAAAAAACAACAACTGCTATGTTTACTATGGTTTTGAGAGGCTTAAGTCCATACACCAGCGGCCGACGGGTGCCATAGACTGACTCTTGCTCCTTAAGATTCTGCAGAAACCTTTGTAGAAAGCCAATACTGTATGATATTGTAGTAACTCTATTGTAGTAACCCTAGTTATAGTAAGCCTTGCATTATCGCTCTTTTGAGTATTGAAAGCCCTAAACCCTAAACCCCAAAGCCCTAAACCCTCAAGACTTAAAAAGCCCGTAAACCCTCAAGCCTCAAAACAAAACCCTAAACCCCCAAGCCTTAAAGAGACCCAACAAAATCTCAGAGTAGACTTGCCTGGCTTGCCCTAAGGGTCCATGTACCAGATAGTATATACTTTGGGCCCAATGTACCCATATAGGGAGTACTTTAAGGCCAGTGTATATGGGTGGTTGTCAAAATTAGGGTCCCTTTTTGGGTCCTTATTGTATTACGGCACCGAATATTTAGAAACCCTAAACCCTAAACCCCTAACCCCTAAACCGATACCGCAGGTTCCAGGACAAGGCGAAGAGCGTCTTGAACGAGTGACCCGCGCAATGATAGGAGGCCAAAAGGGGTTTTTGGCCTACTTGGAGGGTCGGGGGACTTAGTAAGTAGGTAGTAAGTAGACTTATAAGTAACCTAAAAGGGACCCTAATTGGGGTTATGGTAGTTATACCTCCTTAAAATAACCACTTACTAAGTCCCCCGACCCTCCAAGTATGGGGGTTAGGGATCCCTAGGGCTCCTTTAAAGGGATCTATAGGGGTTCCTTTAAAGGGATCTATAAGGGTATCATAGGAGGCCAAAAGGGGTTTTAGCCTATGGGGGTTTAGCAGGGATGAGGGTTCCCATAATAGGGCTCATATTAAGGAATCCTATTAAGGAATCCCTACCCCAAGAATCTTAAACCCCCTTTTGGCCTCCCATCACCCTCCCCCCCAGCCCCCAAGCGCTTCGGGCTGAATAGGGGGAGAAAGGGGTGTTTGGGGTTTATGGGGGTTTACGGGGGTCTGTGCGGGTTTATCAGGGTTTAGGGAGTTTCATAGGGGTTTGTCGGGGCTTCTGTTTTTTTAAGGAGGTGTATAGACGTTTATGGGTGTTTAGCTTGATCAATCTCTCGTGTCTTCGAGGTGCGGAAGTAGGCCGGTTTTGGCTCTCTGCGATGGCCGGACCAGGGGTCCCCTCTCTTCGGAAACTCCCACATGGGGGCTGTTCTAAATTATGGTCCCTTTTTGGGCCCTATAGTAGTATAGTCCTTATTATAAAGGGTACCCCAAAAGGGACCATACTTTAGAACAGCCCCCACATACCATTTGGGGATTCAGAGTATAAGGTTGTAGGGCCTCTACGTATAAGGGTTATGTATTTGGCCCGCAAGGAACATGCACATGTGTCATGCTAATGCACCGTTGAAAGTCCGCTGTCACTTCCGGGTTTAGGGTTTAGGGTGGCACGCGCCAACCACGATGTCCTCTCGCGCAGGTACTTCGTCTCACTAGCTGTGGAAGACACCGTGGCATCTGCCCTTGCCTTACTGGAAGCTTTGCTGTGTTTCGGAATTGCATACCGTAAACCCTGAATCCTAATCAAGCCCCAACCTAGTAGTAGAGTAGGTAACCTTGAAACTTTTTTGGGTAGTATAGTCCCTATAGAACCTATATGACCAAAGGAGCCCCAAACCCTGAGACTTAAACCCTAACCACCCGAAGCCATCGACCGGTTTTTTCAGCTTGAAACGTCTGAGCTCTCGTCAGATCCGCATGGGGGGGGTTTCCGAAATGAGGGGACCCTAAAATAGTACCCGAAATGGTAGGATCCTTATTACAAGGATTCCAAAAGAAGGTACCCCTATTTTCGGAAACTCCCATGTAGATGTCGGAACAACATGGAACAACAGTAATGCTTTTCTACAGGTTTCCTTTCGAATTATCATGGACCCACAAACCCTCAACTGCCCAAAAGACTCTCTAGAACCCTTCTGGAGCCCTTCAAGAGAGAACCCTAAACCCAAAACCCAAAACCTTTGACTGTGCTAGAATATCCCCCTGATCATTAAGGCCCCCGTGGCCTACAGTGGTCCCTAAACCCTAAACCCTAACCACCACAAATTGTTTAGCTTCTAGGAATCCTTCAAGTAGCCCTCTATAGACTCCATAGCAAAAATGTTTTCGAAATCCTATAACGCCATCAACGAACCCATATATATATATATATATGTATACATACAGCCCTTTTGCAATCCCTATAAGGCCCTGCATTTTGTAACCCTGAGGCCGTGGAGCTGCTAGCGCTTTGCCCATCCGAGGCAGGTGCTGAAAAGTAGAAAACACAAGTTCGAAACATGGGCGAACCTAGGAATGCTCCATTTCCGTTGTCTGTCTGTCTGTCTGTCTGTCCGTCTGTCTGTCTGTGTCGTAACGTAATCACTTCCAGCATCGGCAGCGACATTGTTTTTCCACGAGTGGTTTTCCACTGGACGTCCCTGCACCTGGTACTGCAGACGTACCTGCCACCCGATCATGATCATATGCAGGCAGATGAGCTTGGGGTTGTGGCGATGATGCTTGGTCGCAAGTCAGCAGCGCCGCTGTCCAACTGATCTCAAACTCTGTTTATCTTCCGCAGCCTAAACCCTAAACCACTAAACCCTAAACCCGTACACCCTAAACCCCTAAACCTAAACCCTAAAGCTTGGGCCAGATTTCAGGCGACCCCCCAAAAAAATCCGCAACATGCGTTGATTCCTACCCTCCACCCTAAACAATTCAGACTTAAACCCCAAACGCCCTAAGCCCCCAAACTACTGAACTCTAAAACCACCCTTGGGGACCCAACGGCCCCTACAAATAGGGGCTCTACACTCTTATACTATGACCACGAATGATATGGTGTATGAAGCTTAAACCCTTGTACGGTCCATCTTGTCCTTGAGGACCTCCAGATGCATCGCACTGTAAACCCTAAGTGCGTTATAAACTCTAGACCCAAAGCTCAAAACCCTATACCCTTCATGAATCGTAAACCCGTTTTAAACTCTAAACCTTAAACCCTTAAAGGACCCACAGAGCCCAATACCCCTAAATTAAGGAATATGGCTTAAATCATAATATGAATCCCCTCATGATTTAAGGTATACTCCTTAATTAAGGTGTATTGGGCCCTCTGGGGAAGGCCTAAGCCCTAAACCATGCCACGAAGGAAAGCCGCGCTCGACCGGGGAAAGGCGCCCGGACCTGTCCAGAAGCCCAGACGAATCTAGGAGTCTGAAGAAATGGAAAGAGTTGTTTTTATATTCCTCATAATATGAGAAGTGTAAGTACAAAACAAATATGTGTGTGTATATATATATATATATACACACGGAATTATGCACTGTATATTACCATGCTATAAAGATTATTGACGCCGCTACGTTATGTGTTTTAAGACCTTCAACCGGGTGCTATGCGACAGTGGTAGTAGGATTCAAGACGTCGAAACATTCCTCAGCAGCTGGAATCGGACGCACAAAACCAGACCACGCACCCACACGCGCACACACAGACACACAAACACACACAATCGAAGACGAAAGCCCCACAGCCGCAGCAAAGCCAATACGCACCTCTCAGCCCGCACGGTGCCTCAAACCCTAAGCCTCTCGGCCCTGACCCTAAACCCAAGAAGCCCTAAACCTCTGAACTTTTAACCCCTAAACCTCTCAACCCTAACCCTAAATCCAAGCCACCAAGCCCTGAACCTTTAAACCCCGAACCCCTAAACCCCTCAACCCTACTCCACACTGAGTCATAACTCGGCCAGGACGCGCCGTCCGACATCGTGCGGCTCTTCGAGGGCCTCAGCAGGCCTCGCCTTGCCGCTTACGGGTTAAGAAAAAGTGGGATCTACAAGGCTTCCCACTTCGTGGGATGTATGGGGGGATACTATAAGGGATCTGATTATAAGGTATAGTGGGATCTACAAGGCTTACTTCATAGGATGTATGGGGATACTGTAAGGGATCTGCTTAATTAGAAGGTATCTATCACGGGTTGGGGGTTGAGGGATTTCGGAGCTTGTCGGCCTGGGGGATAAAGGATAGTTGGAGGCTCTTGGGCAGAATACATCTTTTGCTTCAAGGTGTTGCTGCGTGCTGAAACCTAACCTGACCCTAAACAGGTGGTATATGTACCTTTCTTACGGTACCTTGGTTGCTGTAGCAAATCCTGAAACATCCTTATTGAGATGCCATATAGAAAGCCTTAAAAGAACCCTTGTAGATCCCTTTATCCCTAAACCTTGAGCCCTACACCCTGAAGCCTACCGAAAACCCCATAAACTCTATGCCCCTACACCCCCCTCAAACGCGAGGTCTGCGAGCTTCGACCGCCCTGCTTTGGTCCGGAGCTTCGAAAAGATCTTCTGCCGGCTGGAGGCCTGTAAGGGATCTATACAAGGGTTCCTGTAAGGGCGACTCGGGATGAAGAGGGTTCAGGGTTCTACGGGTTCTATCGGGCTGGGGGGTTTAGGGTTCTCTAAGGTAATACGGGTGCTATAGGGTTGTGGGGTTTAGGGTTCTGTGGGTTCCCTAGGGTTGATAATATAAATCCTGCATTATCCGTAATAAGGAATTATGGTATACCATAATTCCCATAATTTAGGGCCCCTAAGGTAATGCAAGATTTATATCCCCAAACCCTAAAACCATAATAGATCCCTTAAAGGAGCCCCTTAAAAGGTACCCTTATAGCTCCCTTTAAAGGAACCCAGGATTTATATCATCAACAGTAGGGTTCCTTAGGGTGTGAGGTTCAAGGGGAGCTCTGAGCTTCGAAATCATTTGTTGCCGGATCCTCGAAGCAGGCTTATAAAGGTCCTTTAATCAGCAGTCTTATTCTTATTATGAGTACGGTGGTTATGTTTATGATTATGATTCTTAAGGACCGAATGAACCCTATGAGTTCCTTTTCGGGTTTCTTTCGGTGCTCCTATAGGGGTTAACATAGGGGTTATATGGGTTCCTTCCATAGGCTTGAGTTCAAGGCCTCCTATGAGGGTAATATGGGTTTGATAGGGTTTCGGTGTCGAAGCTGTGCCTACTCGGGAAGTCTCCATTGAGGCTTGAGGTTTACCTAAACCCTACTTTAGGAGTTTAGAGTTAGGGATGCCCGGACCTTGGAGCTTCGACTCTCGAAGCAGCTTTGTGAAGCTTCCCCAACGGGGTCCAAAGGACCCAATAATCAGGTACTTGGGTTTAGCATAGTAGTTATGTAGGTTAATATTTGGGAGAGTATCTGATTATTGGGTACTTGGACCCTTAGGCTTACAACAGGGCCTGTTCGATTGGGGTTGCTCTTTGGGTACAACCCCCACACAGTAATAGTTGAGTAATATTCACAATATAGATATAGTAGGATCTTAATAGTAGGCCTATTGTATGGGGGCCGTACCTAAGTTGCTCTTCATTAATATCGCCATCGCCACGCCTACGGCGTTTACTCTTCCACCCCAAGTCTCAGTTGGGACTGCCCAGTAAGGCGTAGGATCATCTTCGACACCGAAACCTTATAGAACCTAACAAGCAGAGGCCTTCCAGAAGGAACCCATGGTTGTCAAAATTAGGGCCCCCTTTTTGGGTCCTTAGTATAGTACGGCACCCAATAGTTAGGGTACCCAAAAAGGGACCCTAATATTGACAACCACCCATATAAGCCTCACGGGGTGCCATGGTTTTACAGTAGAAGCCAGAAAGTTGGAAGATCATTATCCTAACCCCTTTAAGGTAAATTATAGGGGATTCCACCATTAATCCATAGTCCAACTTTCTGGAGTTCCCTTTAAGGGGTTTCGCATCTCAACCGGGCCATGGTGAGTTCCCCGGCTCAAGCAGTTGCACCAGCTTCCACAGGGTGTAGGGTCTTAAAGTGTATGTACATACATGTATACGTGTATACATATGTGTGTATGTACATACATATATATATATATGTATATACACACATATTTATGTTCATTTTTTGCTGTGTATGTATGTTTATGTTCATTTTTGCTGTGTATGTATTTATCTTCGAGCTCATATGTATGTATGTACGTATGTATGTATGTATGTGTGCGTGTGTATATATATATATATATTAGATGTATGTTGTGAGGGCTTAGGGTCCAGGGGTCAACGTGCAAGTACGTTCCGTAGCAAGCGAAGCCCTCCGGCACCCTTTGTATTTTCCTCGCCCTAAACCCTTCACCGCACTTCCAAACCCTCAAACTCTAACCATCCCAAAGCCGTGACTTCAAAACCCAAACCATCCCAAACCCTAAAACTCCAACCATCCCAAACCCTACTTAAACCTCCAACGTCCTAAACCCTAAGCTACAAAACCGCAGAATCTCAGAAACCTCCAACCCCGAGCTCCAAACTCACAGGACCTCAAGATCGATGCGCCCATGGCCGAGAAAGGCATCCTTGAGATCTTACAGGGCTGCATCGCGGCCCGGGCCTTAGTGACCATTCCAGAGACTCCAGGAATACACCTGAAAAGTCCATGAAAGGAAGCCTCTCAAGATTTCAGGTAGATTCCTTAACTAAGGGATTATAACTCCTCAGCCCTGGAGAGACACCTGAAGCTAATGTGTAGGAATCTGATTAAGAAACCCTGGGTGTGTAACCCCAAAATAGTAGGATTCACATAAGGAACCCCAATAAAGGTCCCAAGGTTTCTTCATCAGGTTCCTACATCATCATAGTACCTTTATAGATCCCTTATAGTACCCTTATAGATCCTTTATAGTAACCCTTATAGATCCGTTTATAAAGGAACCCTACATTATCCCGGCCGGAAGCACGAGCCTCGGCGAACTGAGACCGGCTGCGTAGACAAGAAGCTTCTCTCGAAACTACCGGTCTCGGTCTCAGTTCGAAGAGCAGGGAGATGGGGGGCACTGGGCGGGGGGGGGGGGGCGTAAGCCACGGTTTAGGGGTTTTAGGGTTAGGGTTTGACGGTAGGGTTTTAGGGTTTAGGGTTGTTGTTCGTCGGAGTTGGGGCACTGCTTGAAGGTCGAACAGGCCAGACAAGGGAGCCCATGATCCATGGGGCTATACCTGGCAGATAGTGTGGGGGATACCAATGCATGCCGAGGGTTGTCTCATGCCATCGGTGTACTGTAGGAGACGCTTCTCCGGGGTGGCTTGGCTGGAGACAAGGCGGGGTGCCGAGTAGACAGCGACTCTGGCAATATGAGCTTCAGTCCAAGTCCCACCCCACACCCCCTATATCACGAGCAGGAAGCCTAAAGGCCCGAAGCCCTAAACCTTAAATTGCCTTAAATAACCAAACTGAACCCCTGAACCTTAACCGTTCAGCAACCCCATCCGCCTGCAACAAAGAAGCACGACACCCTGAAGGCCTAAATCCCTCAAACCCCCAAGCCCTAAAGGCTCTACGGTACTAGTAACAACAAGAAGAAGAATAGTTACCAATGATAATGATAGTATTAATACCAAAGAAAAACAACACTTTCAGTAGTAACTGTAATAACAAGAAAAACGATAACAGTGATAACAATCATACAAAAAGCTCCGAAGCTTCCTCGCTCGCCCGCGGCCCTTTTCTTGTCTGTAGTGTTCAGAGCCGCCTCCTGGAACAAAGGGCCTTCCGCGCTCCGGCACTTCGGCAAGAAAGTGGATTTTCCATGGGGCTCCTTAAACCCTAAACCGTCAACCCTAAACCCCTACTGGTGTTCTTGTCATTCTTATTCGCAGGAGTGTTATGATGAATGTAGCTTCGTGATAAGACAGCCTGGGGGTGTGAATGGTTGTGATCAGGAAGAGTATGCCTCAGGATTCCTTATTGTTGCTCTTCTTCTCCTTTTGAATGCTGTGCTACTATATGCCCCAATGCTTAACGCCCCTACATTCCATCTGGTACTACCGGGTTTAGGATGGGGGTTTAGGCTATTGGGGTCGTTTTCCCATGAGGCATGTTCCCTTCCTAAATTCCGTCATAGCTTCATGTCATACTGACCAGGAGTTACTATCGCGGCAGGGGTAAGCGGGCTTTAGCTTTAGGGCCCTGGTGCTCAGATGTTATATACTCCGACTGACTTGCTAGTAGAAACTACTCGTGACCGCGCTCTCACTATATGCCTACGACTTGTTATTTTTGATTCGCCACGGGGCCAAAGGGAACTCCGCAGAACTCACGAACAAGACTAAGTCCAAGCTCAGGAATGATGCCACTCGCTGCTGGAGCCGTGCAACCAGGCAAGTTGTCCAGCAGCTTTGAGGGTTTAGGGTTTAGGGTAGGGGCCTTAATAATTAGAATAGGGTTCCCTTTAAAGGGGTTCCCTTAAAGGGGTCTACAGTGGATCTATAGTGGGGTTCTCTGATATAGGGGCCTGCATAATCAGAGTAGGGCTTTGGGGCCCATTATGCTATAGTGATAATGAGGAGCCACCAAAATAGTATAGGTACTTATTCTGCCCCCTCCCGTAGGGTGCTCGGTAAGTTTAGTGAGCACCCTTGCTTCGCGCAGTTTTGAAGCTTTGTTGTGCCAACAGCGCCTGGCTGGCATGCAGGCGGATTGATCTGCTTAGAGCTGGAAACGGTTGCTAAAGAGTGCAATATGTTCCACTCTAAACCCTAAACCGCAAACCCTAAACCCTATAAATCCCACTCAACCCTATACATCCCCAAACCCGACACCCCAACCCGAAGCCCTAACCATGACCCGCAACGTCTTGTCATCGCGGCTCCCGCGCTGACGGGTAATGTAGGGGCCTTAATAGTTAATGTTGGTAACTGTTTGAACTTCTAGAGTCTAGGATGCCCGGTAGTACCCTTATTCCCTTTTTGTGGTCCTAGGTTCCTTATAAAGTTACCCATACCAAAAAGAGAGGCCTTTTTTATTCTTAGGTTACTGGGTAACCTAGTAGTGGTGCCTCTTGATTCTGAACTATTCAGGCACAGGTCAGGGCCAAGTTGAGGGTTCAAAGGCTTGAGGCCAGCTCTGATTTCCTCAGACTTCCCCTTGTTGCCTTTTTGGCTGCCCAGAGACTCCAAAACCCCTTAGTTAAGAACTATGTTTGAAATCAGATTAGGGAATTGAAATTTATGGTATATGCCTCAATTACGTAAGGGTTTTGGAGTCTCTGGGTGGTCCATGACAAGCATGAGCCTTCTTACTTGGTCCATGAGAGGCATGGGCCTGTTCTTAATTTCTAAGTTCTGCACGTGCATGGCTTCGGGACCGGCTATTTGGGTGTCCGAAAGTAGGGGACCCCAATATCGTACCCTAAATAGTAGGATCTTTATTATAAGCACCCCAAACTAAGTGGGTGAAGGTGAGAGACTGGTGTAGGGGCACTTGGAGGATCATGGGACGTAGTAATTGGGGTTTTAAATAAGGAAACTATACTTATGACCCCAATTGGGGCACTTATAATCTTACAAAGTCCCATGATCCTACAAGTAGTACCCTAAACCCTAAACCCCATAGATCCCTTTAAAGAACACTATAGCTCCCTTTAAGGGGCCCTTTAAGGAACCCTAAGTCCCATGATCCTACAAGTAGAGACTTCGTGGGCCTGGGAAGCAGACGAGACAAAGCCGAGTTGGGTCCTCCCTTGCACCGCAACAGCGGAGCAAGTCACTCTGGCCTAGTAGTCTAGGACCCAGAGTAGGCCCTTATGTCCTTTTTTAGGGTTTAGGTTCCCTTATACCCCCCTTTAAACCAAAAAGGGCACCCTTTTTATTCCCAGGCTACTCTTAGGTCTAGTAGTAGAGTAGAGTAGGTAACCTTTAGCCTTTTTTGGGTAGTATCGTCCCTGTATAATCCCTCTATAACCAAAAAGGTTAACCTTTAGTTCCGCATGATACCCGACAAGTAGGCTGGCACCAGCACTGAAACTCTTGAAAAAAGTGGCGGGGGTTTGCTCTCAGAGGCTCACTTGGAGGATCATGGGACTTAGTGAGTAAGGTTATAAGTACCCTAAGTGGGGTTATAAGTATAGCTACCTTATTTATAACCCTATTTACTAAGTCCCATGATCCTCCAAGCACTGCAGAGCAGTCATGCAATCTGCCTTGGCAGGGACTTCGGTCACGAGGCCCACGAAGCTGTTCATTGGAGGCGGGAGGGGGGGGGGGCACTTTACAAAGAAGCTAGGCTTACAACTTATTATCGAACCAGTTACAGTTACTTGCAACTGTACTTACTAAGTCCCATGAACCTCCAAGTACTCAGTAGACCCTAAACCCTAAAAACCGAAAGATCCTTAAGGAGCCCCTAAACCCCTAAACCCGGAACCTCTAGATATATCCCTTATAGAACCCTTTAAGGAGCCCCTTAAGGAACCCTCCCGGTGCTGTCCAGGCTGCAACACCAAAATGCCCCAGACCTTCCAAATCCCCTTAATTAAGGAAGATACCTTAAATCATATTCGGGACCCTACTATAATTTATGGTTTACCTTAACCCCACGTGACCTACCTTTTTTGAGACTTATATAAAGAAACCATATTAAGGGTCCCTAAAAAGGTAGGTTCCGTAGAGTCCAGGTATTCCTTAATTAATGGATTTTGGAAGGTCTGGGGCCGTAAGGTGGACTTCCGGCCTTCGAGAGTCGAGGGCTCATCTTGCTTTCAAGGTACGATAGGGCTCTTTTGGGGGGGTTCCCTTCAAGGGTTTAGGGTTTAACTAGGGTTAAATAAGCTAACTATAGTCATAGTTGCTTATAACCTTACTAAGTTGTAACAAAACTGTCAGCTCCAATGCTGGGCATCGGAGCAGCAAAGAAAAGAAGCGCCAGGTATCACCCGCAACACAACGCTCCGAGCTCAGCGATTTCATCCTAGCTGCTAGCTTTGTGGGCTTGGGTAGAGAATCCATCGGATAGAAGTCAGTGCTGTCGTGTTCCGTCCTGCTTTTCGATCGGTGCGCTGCCCATGCCTTCAATGGTCGTATCACGTGTATCTTGCGTCTAAAGGAAATGCTTCAGCAAGTGCAGTGCCAGCACAGCCATATTCATGTCACTCTGCTGGTACGCCTAGATGCGAGGGCCCCTAAACCTTAGACCCTAAATTGATGTGAGGGCAGAGCACGCTCCCATCTCGCAACATAAGATACCAGCTGATTGAGACCCCTGCCTGCCAAATTTCCACGGGCCACTGCTTTGCTTGCGAACTCCAGTGGATTGCCCACCGCTCTTGCAACTTTGAACCTGCACTGCGGTACGTGCATTCGAATCAGCATGGCATCAGCATTGATCACTCGTCCCGATCATGGAAGCTTTCCTCCCTCCCCTTCCTCCCTTTACGGGTTTCTATAAGGGTTCCTAGATGGGTTCCTGTTATTTAAGGTATCCTATATGGGTTCCTATGTTTCTGTAAGGGGTTCCTGTATCCCTCCCTCCCTGTCTGCTTGAACAAGGACCAAGCAGCTTCGTGATCATTTTGCAGCCTATGGCCGCGTGCTCGACTGCGCCACTCAGCTGCAAGACTGGACACCGATGGACGGTAGGTGCAGGAAAGGTGTGAAAGAACATCGCTTACCACTGTACATTTTGGGGGAGCACAGACGCTAAGTAGTTGGCACAAGAGGCGTCGCGTATATGGACCCTCTTGGATAGCAGTGGATCCACTCGGCTGCGAATATTCCTTAGTCCCCGAACAGAACCCTGATAGATCCCAATAAGGAGCCCTTGAAGGGTACTGTTGATGGACAAAATCCTGCATGACCCCAAGGACTCTAAACTATGGGAACTATGGTATATTCTCTATTATGGGTCATGCAGGATGTTGTCCATCAACAGTATTTCTAAATTTCGGGCCTTTGGAGTCTCTGGGAAGGTCGCGATGCGCCAGTCGGATGGACGGCCGCGTGGTGCTCTCGGACCTCTCTGTGGGAGTTTCCGAAAAGACTGGGTGCCTTCAAAGGGATCCACAAGGGTTCCTTAAAGGGATCGAAAAGGGTTCTATAAAAAGTTTAGGGTTTAGGGTTTCTGAAAATACAGGGTACCCTTAGTTTGGCGTCCTTTTAGTAAGGATCCTACTACTAGTTTAGGGTCCCCTGTTTTCGGAAACTCCTGATCTTCGGAAACTCTCATAAGACCTCTCATCAGGGTCACGAGAACTGTAAGGGCCATTTATGAGGGCTACGCTAGCTGTACCAGGACCCTCCTTGTGCCCTCAAACAGGGGTATATGG